CTTTCTTAATATTACACTTTCTTCCATTTTATTTTTGAAATCATAATTTCTTTATATCAGGAATTGCTGGCAACTCTGAGCAACAGAAACTCACCCGGCAGTGGCCCGATGGGGAAGGGGAGAGGGGAGGCCTGTAGCAGAGCGGTAAAGTCGAGCTTGAGACTCTAATGCCGGCGTCGACTTTGAAGCTTTAGAATTTGCCGCTGCTGCTTAAAGTTTTCGGTGCTGTTGTTTTTACTAACTCTGCAGCTGTTTTATGGGCTTTGTTGGGATTAATACGTTGCTTATTTTGTTGCACTTCAGATAACTTTCACGCTGCGAATTAAAAATTTTTGACGAACCAAAAAATGTTAACCAAACTAAGAACTTAATGGAACTGAGTAATTGGACGCTTGCTTCCAAAGAATAGTGATATTTCCGCCCGATTTAATGAGTTTTTTTTGCCGAGCACACGACCGCACCGACAAAAACTTCGATTTGAACTGAAGCGGCGAATTCTCGGCGGCGTAATAGTAATACCAACTGAGCGCGCGACACTGAACTACAGAGTCCGTCAAGTGCGCTCACCTTCTCTTTCGCTCGCTCGAGCGGCGAGCTTTACACTCTTCTTACCAACTGATAAGCATTAACTGGTGTTGCCAACACGAGTTGCCAACTGAGGCGGTCTTGGGAAAAAGCTAAAGCTGGTAAAACAAAAGCTAATCGAAGCTTATGGGGGAATTTCCCAGGAGTAATGATTGAACGCCGGGAAAAAATTAACCAACACCACATTAAAATTAAAAGATCAGTTAAATGGCTATTCAAGAAAAATCGTAAAGAAAAACAATTCACTTAAATATAAGAGCCGCATCCTAATGCAGTTCGTTTTTCAAGATGCAATATATAAAAATATGTGGAACAAATAAATAAATAAAACAGTCTTGCGAAATGCTTAGCTCTGCAGTTGCCGGCAAATCAATTAGATCACAGCTGCAACTTTATTACGCAGAAACGAAAAACAAGCATATTTTTATTGTATATGTATTTGCTTAAAAAACTGACTGATAACCAAATATTAAGTGACATAAAAAATTACAAAATGCGAGGGACTAAATATCTTAGGTATCCCATTTTGCATAAGGCGGGTTTGAAAAAACAAGTTTACCACTTAAGTGCTCGGCCAAGCCCACAACAATTAATATAAATTTAACCGTTACGATTATGCGAGACAATCTTCATTAATTAGGCACAAGTCGAACATAGAACAAATTAGCCAAGGGTTCACATCCAGCGGGGGTTCGCAACTCTAACCGACAATGTCATTAACGTCACGTCGCTTTCCTGTGTGTCTCCTGCACCTTTTTCTATCGCCGGATAAAGGGTGCAGTAATTATATTTGCCGTTAATCCTGATTCTCCACAAAAGGACAGCGAGTAACGAAGAGGGAAAAGGGTGACCAGATGAACAGAAAAAAATCCAGCAAAGTAGAGTGGATGTGGTTGTGTTGGTGTTAAAGTAGGGTTACAACGGATACAATCAACCTTACTTAACTTTAATACCCACACACAGACTTTACATTTCAATTTGTTAACATTGAAGGTTTATAAACAACAAGTTGGGCTTTATAGATAATTGCGACAAATCTGGGTAGCAGCAACAACAACAATTTTGGAAAGTGTTTACTTATACAGCATATTAATGTAGATGACAAAACCTACAAAATTCACCTGTTCAACAATTAAAGGTTAAAATTGTAAAACAAGAGTAGCTCTACTCGAAAGGCACACTGCCAAGCAGTACAGTGAGTACCGGGTATTTGCAGTTCATTTCCGAAGTATTCGATTGAGTACAATTTATTTTGCAGTTAGCTTTTCGACGTCCCCGTCTTTCTCCATGGCTTTTCCAATGAGAAGCGTGAAGCTTAAAGTGCCATTGGTTTGATTGCCTGAACATAGAAATCAATTGCGGTGGATTCTATACTAGTGTGGTTGACTAGAAAGCCAATTGATTCTCGTTTTTACCTGGTTCCCTCTAACAACAAAAGGATAAAGCTGCTCAAGCATTAATTGTCGGAGAGTTTGCTTTCGCATCAGTATCTTTATGTGGACTGCGATTTGTGTCTCCATTTTAATAAAATCTTTTAATGCCAACGCAAAGAAGTATTTTAGAAAACAAGTAAAGCAAATTTTCATATATAAATAAAGGATTTTTTACTTTTAATTTAAGGACACATAATTCAGATGGCGTTGGCACTAAAATTGGGTGAGAAAATAGAACTCAGTCTTAGCCATTTTAAAACTTGAGTATTTAAAGCTGTGAATAGCATTAAGAAGGTTAAAATTTAATTATCTTTTCGATTTTTTATATCAACAAGCCCAGACATGCAAGCCATGTGCATCCTAAGTGCATAAATTGTTAATAAATTGTCACAACATTATGAATATTGGTATTTTCCAGACCATCTCCTCCACTCTCATATAGCTACTCAGCAAATATTTAATATCGAGGATACATTTTCCATTGTTGCTGCTGTTGCCGTAGACGAAGGATAAAATCAAACTAGATTTTCTCATATGTATATGTACGCATATATGAGTATATCTATCAGAAATTTGTCTAGCATGTCAACGAAAAATCGCATATTCGAAGAGCAGAGTCGGGCACCCTTCCAAAACGAGCAAGTAGTTGGACAAAGAGAAAAATATTTTTATATGCTACACGTATGCAGAATACAGTTTGAAAAAACTAGAAAAATTGAGAAAAGCAATCATAATGTAAATATTGAAATATTGGCAGGGGAACAACTTGAAAGTTACTCCTCACAATAAACAACCCAATCCTCGCATCGAGTTTCCCTTCCATGATATCTGATGTTTGTTTCAATTTAGGTCCTCGCACAGATGCGATTGCCTCCAACCAAACATTTTAATTTATTTACGACTCTGGAAAAACGCTTAAATTAACAGCTGCGCAATGTTTAGCTAATGCAGAGCCAGCAGCTGGAGCTGAAAATATACTTTTTTTGCGTAAGGTAATGTAGAATAGCACTATCCACTGACCTCCATCAATTTACCAAATTATGAATATTCAACTAAAAAACTTTAAGTACTTTTTTGTGGTTCCAAAGTTATTTCAACTCCTTTTCGCATAGATGATTTTTTTAATATAATGCAATATTGTAATGCATTTAACTTAATTAAGGAAATAAAAAGAAAACCTTTTTAGTTAAAGAAATAAAGTGTGACACCAATCGGCCATATAAAATCATTTTGTTCTCAGAGTATAATGCAGTCGTTTTACTGCATATTAACATTTTGATCTTTTGTTTTATTTCCCAACTCGATTCATGGGCTTTCAGCAGCTTTCGGTTTTTGTTGTCTGGCTTTTGGCTGCGATAACTGGCCCAACTGTTTTCACTGGCTCAAAGGCGACATAAAGTATATTTTGATTATTTTGTGAGCCAGAAGTTGAGCATTTTAAGGCCCGCCGGCATTTGCATTTCAAATATACTTTTACGACAGCCCCTCGACGTCGGGCCCGCATACCGCCCGACACCTTCCCGCAGGATCTGCCGCCGCGGGCGAGACGAGGTGAGCCACATGGAAGTGGGTGAAATACCACAAATGGCGTGTAAACACAACAAAGAGGTAATAACAATGGATGCCAACGAGGTCCCTGACTTCGAGGGCGTATAGGAACTTAGGGTGGGGGGGTTGAGGACCCACAGAACTCGTCCGCATTCCTGGAGCCTTTGAGCCAGTGCAGGGCAGGACTTTTGGCCCAAGCACCCGCACTTTCGAAAACATTTTTATTTGTTTCTCCGTAAGCTGTGTCAATACACAATAAATTGAACTGTGCAAGAATTTATGTTGGCCCTGTGCGAGGACATTCAGCACCCTATCTGTCGCATGCCCAATGCCTCTGGCACCGCTATCGCACTGGGGCGTCAATTGCCTGTTGGCCACCCCCTTGGGACTAAAAAGTTCAATAATATTTATTTGTTACTTGCTCTTTGACAACAAAGCACACCAGATTATACTAAGTCCTAGACCCCCCTTCACATTGGCTCACTCCCTCTTACATAATGGCATATTGTCACACAATAGACGGGACCGCAGATGCCTTCTTCTTGGCAGTAAATTCCGGCCACTAAAGGCGATGATTTTTCAACAGACACCGAGCTAATTTAGTGACTGAATGCCAACTCGGTCACCACTGTGATTTACGGGGTCACCATTCGCACGATTCCAATTATTTGTTGGTTTACTTGCGACTTTAATCTGAGAAGAAAATGGAGAAGAGCTATGACTTTATCTTAGCCAGGAACACTTAGCAATAAAGATAAAGAATATATAGTAAAATGGCTTACATTAATGCATGAAACGACAATAAGAATATAGTCTTTAATGTGTTTATATACATGTAAAACACTTACATGTTTTAGTAAATTAATTATTGAATCAATTCATACACTCGGTATCAACGTATGAGAAGGGTCTTAAATTTTAAATAACCAAGAGATCAATCAGTTCCAGTGATTATCCATTATTTGCTCAAGTTTCGAGGCTGAAATGATAACATATTTAGTATTATTGGTCACTGTTGATCCCGTTTAGGCGGTCAATTGATATTCATAAGCGGAAGAGGAGGAGTCTGCCCTGCGGAAACAAGTGTTTAGTTGGTCATCTACAAATAGCATCCGATGAATAAAAAAATAAATCCTCAATCTTCTGTTGGCCTGACCAAAAGAGCGCAGGCGCAGACAAACAGCCGGCGAATTTCACGAAGTTCGTAGGGCTAGGTTCGATTCCAAAGTCCAAAGCAACCAAAGGGATGAGAACGGCACACAGCTGGGGAAGTACGAAACGAATCGGAATCCGAATCCGAATCAGAGATACTCCCCGCCGATGTGGAACAGAGGAGAACCCGATGGGGAACGTTCGACGGAACGGCTTTGAATCGGAATGTTGGGAAGTCATTGGGATGGCGTTGCCCGCACGCCTCTCAGTCGAAAATTTGAATCCGGTGCGCGCGGACGTGACTCGGATGGTGAAAAGAAAACCGCAACCAAACCAGAAGTCAATTTTACGCGATGTCTGAATAGGACTGCTGCCCAAACGAAAGCCAGAAAAAACAAGTTGTGAAAAGAAAAACGAAGAAAAATATGCAAAAGTGGGAAAACAAAGAGAGGAAAAATTAAGACAAAGTTAAACCACTTGATGTCCCCTCGGGTGTCCTGTGTCTGTGTCCTGCATTGCCGCCTGTCGAGTGTCTTTTGCCGAAATCACTTTTAAAATTTGTTTGCTCTTGCCGTATTCAAATGGATATTAGAATGTCGCGCTGAACGGGAAACCCAAGGAGCAAAAACAGAACCAAAAGAAGCCGGGGATTTCTCCAAGGATGCGAAAAAGCCCGCCGTAACGTAAAAAAGGGATTATTGTGCATCATTTCGGGCACCAACAAAAACTCGTAAGAAGGCGAAAGAAAATACATTTTCGAGTCGGATTATGCGATAAATTGTTACTGAAGTGTAAATGTTTTCTCACGTGTTAAATCGTTAAATATAAGCCAGCCGAGCTAGACATAAATGAACCGAAATTGGTTAGAGTCCGACCATATGGTTATTGTAACTTATTACCAAGAACTTTAAACTGCAAAGGCCATCGAGAAGCAATGTGAAACTTGTTAAACACTATAAATGGTCCCACTCCTTCAGGTTTGGTGTGGCAAAAGTTTTAGCCATTAGTCATCGAGAACATTGTGTGATAGTTCTGCATGGCAACCGTGCAAGTTATTAACTTTTGTGCGGCGGCATGAGAAAGTGAGCCGAGAACGAATAAAAGAACATTTTTTGTTATTAATTGCAAAACGATTATGAAAGTTTAAGTGGAAATAAGTTGATTTATATATCTTGAAAAGTTCATGCACTTTACTTTTTTCATTGATTGAGCTGTTGAAATAAAAGTTGGAGATGAGAAATTGTTCTTGCGAAAGTTTTTTTATGTAGTTCAATTTGTGGTATTTAATAAAAAAAATAGCTATTACTTCCTTTCGTCTAAATTTTTATGAAAACCAGAATTTTTTGTGGCCCAATTTGGTTTTTCCATTTATTTAACTTGTTGTCCTTTTTCTAGTCTATTATTTGGTTATTACTAGCAAACAACTTTAACAAGCACAATAAAACCCAATGGCAAACAACACTGTTAGGTAAATTTATTTATTAGGGCTTAAGCGAATTTGTGATGTTCAGCTAAATAAGTTTTCGAGAAGACCAAAAAGCCAAATAAACAAATTGGATTACCACACATATAATAAAGTCGAGTTCTGATGCCAGTTTATTTGTCTATATTGGTGCCACTGCAGCGCCAATAAAAGTTTACCACTCAACAAAGGCGAAAACACTTAAATAAATATATAAATCAACCAACACAAAAATAGTGCAAAACGAGAGGACAGACTGAGTAAGCAAACAATGAGTTTGCAAGAAAATCGGTTGAGAAAACGCATCGACCCATAAAGAAGAGTTGCAGTTTTTTGTGAAAAACTAGAAATAAAATCAAATAAAATAAAATAAAATAAAATAAAACAGGATAGAGGTTAGATAAAACCCAAATGGAGGCAAGCCAGGACCCAGCCCCGAGCGTATTAATTCAATAAACCTATTTATCTGAGACTTCGACTGGGATTTGGAGAACGGAGCGGAGCAGAGAATGCGACAAAGTTTGCCAGCCAAGACGGCGCAGTGCAATCAGCAGATCCTGGCTTTGGGTCTCAGGAGCAAGAGCAGCCAGATTCGATGCCGCAAACGAGTCCCAATTGGAGGCGGGCGGACAATGAGCGCACAAAAGGCGCTGTAAGTGTCATTGCAGCCAGGAACTGGGCCACTGGGACTGCCACGCAGGACTAGGACAAGTAGAGCAGTAGCAGTAGCAGTAGCAGTAGCAGCAGAAGCACCAGAAACAGCACAGCCAGGACCCACCCGGACCCCGACCCGGACCACAACGTTGACAACAGAGATGACAGCGGCGGGAGCAGCAGGACGAACAGGACGAACAGGAGGAGGAGGAGGTGGAGGAGGAGCAGCGACGTGGTGTCGCCGATTTTTCCATACATCCAGACCAGCATCTTGGCTGCGCATCAGCACCGTCCTTCTTTTCCTGGTCCTTGGCTTTGGGATGCGTAAGTACAGCTCGGGGTTTTCCCTGACTCCTTGTGTGTGCGTGTGACTTTCATACATTTTTGATTTAATTTAACGCATTCACGTCGCACACTCCAACACACACTCGCAGCAAGAGTGAGAAATTTTATAAACGAGTGGGATACCCCGCAATTTGTGCACTTATCTTGTGAAAGAAAACTAAAAATAACAAACTGATTTATTATCATGTTAAAACTGTGAGTTCTCAAGGTTCTGCGAATTTGCGTAGGTTAAAGTGGATGTTGCATCGCTTGCATGCTGGGTTGATTATTTCAAGAATATTTACTAGGAACTTGTATTCCGGATATCCTCTACTATTCCGGATACCGGGTAAAATAACCGCGCATAAACACTTGGCAACACACACATGGATAATGGCTCTCGTAAGCGGGGACCCAAGACGCGATATGGCTGCTGGCAAATTATTTTAGTATTTCTCCGTAACTGGTCCTTGGAAATCGCAGAGGAGGAGTCGGGTCTTGAGCTTTCCTTTGTTTCACTTGATTTGCTGAAATTAGATTAGAACAAGCCACGGGGTCAGCGAAATAGGAAAACAATGGCCCATAAAACTTGACAAAATGGTGCGTCAGTCCGCATTGAACATTTTTTAGGGGAAAGTTTCTTAGTCTACTTTATCCTCCTTTTTTTCCTATTATGTGAAATTAAAATCGATTTTCTTTAATAATAAAGCAACCTAATTATATCTTACTCAATTAACCCTTACTAGTAACAAGGACTCATACCTAATTTTTATAGTTTCTTTTTCTATTTTGTGGAAATCAGAATTGTAAGGTTGAATTTTTAAATCTACATCTACATTTAATGTAATTTTCTGGTTCTCAAATAAATATAGCCACAAGCCAAAATATTAAATTTTTTTAAAATCCATATGTAAGCATTGAAGTGTAAGTCAGTTGTTTTATTTTATTCCCAAATAGTGATAAAAGAAAATTATCTAAATTATAAGTTAATAACTTCCGTAAAATGACTTGTTGCACATTGCTGGGTGGAATAATACAATCTGCTCTACGGGAACAGCGTGAGCCGGTGACCTTACAGGATTTTTTGAAAAGTATATCCTCCAAGCTCAATGTTCCAAATTACCACATAAAGACGATGGTGCTGATCGCCATACGGGTCGGCCTAAACTATGGATTCATTCAAAAAACCGGGCCCCTGTTCTTCGTGAAAAATGAATTCGAGGACGACGAAATAAAGTCTGTGCTTGAAATAGTTCTTAAGAAAAGAAAAGAAAGGCCATGTGCAAAGGATCATTTGGATCAAATATCGGTAAGCCCACTGAAACAAACGGCTCAGGAACAAACGAAAAGTTACATGGAGGTGTTGACGTTTTCCGATGAAGAAGAAGTTATGGTGTTTAATGTTGTAAGACAAGAACAGAATGATACGAAGGGGACAAACATCGAAGTAAAACAGTCAGAAAGGTAAAATTTGTAGTTTAGAAAATACGTTTAATTTATTACTCATTATTTTTTTTTGTCTTGTTTTATAAAAACCAATATTTCCTATTCTTGAAAATTATATTGTTCGGTTATTTAATTTTAAACCCACTAAAACTGGCAGTTGTTCAGCTCTTGGTACAAAAAATGAAAATGGAAAAATAATACAATGGTACACTATATGGTACACTAAACCTCCGGTTTCATTACTTTCGTTTCCATTTTTTAATCACAAGCTGAAGTCCACTTTCTGTCGAATGGCATAGAACGCAATTACATAACTGGTATTTAAGGCAAAAAAATAAATAACAAATTGTTGTGCCAAACGCTTGAAAAAATGTAGCTAATTGGAAATAAAACTGTTTTAATTAAATAGACAAGGGATTTTCAGGCATTTTATTTTTTATCAAAAACTGAATCATTTTTATCGCACAATAACGGGCGCACAGCATATAGGTTTTGTGTATGCTGTTTTCTTAGCCTAAGAATGATACTTTTCATTACTATCTTTTTGAATAAAATGTTAACCCATAGGCTTATAACAACCAAAACAAAACTTTTTGTTGATACTAAAATATTTTCTCACCAAATTTATACAAGTTGTATATTTCAATTGCTTAGATAAATAAATTGAAAAAGTTTAAAATATTATGTGAAAATGAATTATTGTTCGAAACAACAATTAGTCAGCTTTAATATATGTTAAACATTTTTCATTTGTAGACTAATTTGTTTGTTTGCCACAGAACTTTTTAAATACAAAACAAATTGGTTTAACTTGTAGGAAAAGTTAGCGCACCTCTTTACGTACAAAAGTTTTAAAATGAATCGCGACGAGTTACGCAAATTGTGAGAATAAAAAATAGTTTCCCAAGGTCCTTAACCCCGTTGCCACTTTAGCAGAAGCAGCTGCTCAGTCGACTGCCCGATAATCAAGGCAAAAATAAAACAATAAATTGCACCTCCTTTGCAACCGCCCCGTTTCCTTTTGTCTTCGCAGCCCCACAAAAACATTAACGAAATTGAAAACTTGCCAAAAAATGTTTAATAAACACATTTTCAGCAGCGTGGAAACAACCCTTGCTAAATCCCCTATACGCATTCCCCACCTCGCCTGTCCGTCTGCCCCTTCATTACTATACAGCTCTTAACAAAATGCGCTTTCAAAAAGTTTGAGTGCAACTCGTTATGCCAAAATACAGAAGGGACCAACAAAGCAGATGCAAGCCAACTCCTACTCCCCGGTCTCACCGAAATAGTCAAAAATATAATGCGGCCAAAGTTTGTCTTGCTGCAGCTTTTGTTCTCTCGAAAACCTCATTCTGATTTTTTGAAAATTTCTGGGGGATTGTGCAAGGATTTTTTATTTGCTTGCACAGTGCCGGCTTCCTGCTAATTTCGGCAATGTGCGGGAAAAGTTGTTGGGCCTCGAATCAAAGCGGCCTACAGGTTGACTTGGCCCGACCTGCCGTCACCTCCGACTCATTACACCTGGCTGAAATGGCCGAAACTGCCGAAATCCTTTAAGGCTGCTCTGGGGTCATGATGTCGTGTCCTGCTGTCCTGCTGTCGTGTCGTGTGTGCGGTCGTCGTTGTGAGGGCCAAAAGTGTTTGCTTACCTTCATAAATTATAAATGGGTTTGCGGAGAGACCAAAACAACAACAGCAGGAGCAAAAGCTAAAGCATCCCTCAGGCGGCCGGAGTGTCCGACACACACACACACATTGTCAGTCGAGTTGACCTCCGCCTCGGCAGGTCCTGTGATGACGGAAAATATTGTAACACAAGCAAAGTTGGGGGACACATGATAGTGCCGCAGGTCAACAAAATACCCCACGGTGGAGTTATTTGCAACCCATGGCTTTATTAGAGGCCGGGAAAATTCGCGAAATTCGATCCCACACCTAGCCGTTTGTTGGAATGTCTTACATGGAATTTTAATTGTTCTACATAATTTGAGGCCTGAGTAATTTGTGTAAATTTCATCAAAGTTAAATAATAGTTTGTAAATTCTTGTAGCAATTCCATTCAAGGTCTCATTTTGTGTATAATTAGAGTATAAAAAGTCTGTATATAATTCTAAAAGTTATATACAGCCTACCGTATATAAAAGAACAGGTGAATATTTTCATGAGTGCTTTTTTAAATAAGAATGTTGAATTGTTGAAAATGTACTAAATATTTTACCCATTTTTTGTAATTGTTTAATATAATGGATTCTTTAAATTAAATTGAAAATGCCTTTCCTGCCGATCAAATTTATATATTTCATTTAATTTCGTCGTTTTATAGTACATAGCAGCCTTAGGTAAAGATTCTAAAAAGATAACATTATTTTATAACAAAGCTTTTGAATTTTTAATGGACAAAATTATATATTAAATGTAAGTACACAAATACTTTATTTTAAATATTCAAAGCTGGTATTTTTACTTCCTATTTCAACACGCCCCTTCATTCATTATCAACTTCCCTCCAAAGGTTCAACACTGCGAATGAGTGATTTTCGGCTCGCAATTCGACCCACTGTTTCTCATTCGCCATGCAACTAACAATTTCCTGTTCACATACACACAATCACGTCCACAATGTAAGCTGAATGGCCTTGATGCGCTTTTGGCTCGCAAAATGTGAGCTTAAATTATTCAGTGGGTCAGGGGTCAGAGGCAGCTGCAGCAGCGTCGACGCTTTGGGCAATCAAAGACAACAACAAGTGTGTGTATATGGGCCATTTAATTGCTCAGAGAATAGCAATGGGACGAGGTTAAAGGGGATTAAGGAAGGGGCTGAACGAGCGACAAAGACGTAGCGAGAAATGACCCACAAATGACAAAGTGCAGCGGCAGTCAACGAGCCTTGTCTTTGTTTCTTGCCGAAGTGTGAAAAGAATAAGACAGACCGCCGAAAAAAAAGGAAATACAAAGCAATGAAGCCTCTGGGCCTCTCTCGTAATTTATGAATCGCAGCAGGAGGGGCCGAGAAAAAGGAATGCGGAGCTCACTATGTCCTGGCAGGAGGCCCTTTGAAAAATTATTTCATTTCTGGTCAACGTTTGCTTACTTATTTATGACTGTCCGACAAGCCTTCTCCATAGACATTTCTGGCCCGCAAACCAGAGCCGGAAAACTTGGGCTGGCTAAATATTTTCCAGAAAAGCCATAAAAATCAACTAGATAAGAATTCGTACGATGTTGAGATTTTGCATAATTATTTTTCTTAATTTATAGAAGACAAAAGACACAGAGAAGTCACAGAAGATACCATGTCTTTAATGAAGCCAGTATCAAAGTTAAGGAAATTAAATTTTCTTTTATATTCCTTTAAAAAAATGTAAAACTGACTTTCATTACCCATTCTTTTTTTTCGGGATTTCTCCATTTACAAGCCATTGTTATTTCTTTACATAAATATTGGCTTATTTATAAAGTCTCCTTCTATCCAAAAACCAAATCAAGCGCTTCATCCATTTAAAATTCATCTAAACTTAGATTTCATCATTTTTTTGGCTTTTAATTTCCCC